GAAGGGAACTGGGATTGTCATGTAAAACAATCTTGTTTCTAATTCAAATTAAAAAAATCTGAGGGAAAAAATCTGCCGTAGGAGTTTCATGGTAGAATTTTGGGGCTGTGTGTGTGTATTATCATATCATTTGCAAATAGCAATACTTTGACTTCTTCCTTCCCAATTTGTATCCCCTTGATCTCCTTAAGTTGTCTCATTGCTCCAGCTAGAACTTCAACTACGGGACCAACATAGACTGTCTGCATATACGTCACAGTTGTGTGACATGGTCTTCTTGTGAGACTCCTAACAGTAAGAGCAAGGGCTGTCTCTGACTCTGATGCCTGCTTTTGAACCCATTCCTCCTAATGGATTGCCAAATCTAGTCTTAATAGAAGAGAAGTCTAGTCTCACTGCAACTTGATATAGCATGGCTGGCTGATATCCATGGGAAGCCTGCCTGTATCTGAAGAGAAACAGTGGAAGAGTAGATGATATGGGAGTAGAGAGGAGGTGGGAGGGGAGGAATTTGGAAGAGGGGAGGAAGGGGAAACAAAAATCAGTTCAAAGATGGTTCCAATGAAAATTTTACCAAACATTGAAAGAAAATTCAACATCAGAGTTCTATGATTGCTGTGGAATGTTATTTTAACTAGGCAAAGATGTGTTACATTTGTTTATGCTGCATGATGTAAGGAGGTATGTTTAATTACATAAAGATGTGTTTTATCTGTTTCTCCTTGCCTGCTTAAGTCACCTGATTGGTCTAATAAAGAGCTAAATGGCCAATAGCTAGGCAGGAAAAAGATAGACAGGGCTTGCAGGCAGAGAGAATAAATATGAAGAGAAATCTATGCTCAAGAGAGAAGAGAAACAGGAGGAGGAGAGAATGAGGAAGATGCCTGGGGCAAGGAGCCAGACACCCAGCCAGCCATGGAGTAAGAAGGAAAGAAAGACATAAAACAAAGAAAAGCAAAAAAAAAAACAAACAAACAAACAAACAAAAAAAACCTGAGGCAAAAATAAGTAAAGAGAAGCAGATTAATTTAAGTTAAAAAAAAAAAAAGCTAGCCAGAAAACAGCTAAGTTAAGGCCAACATTCAAAACTAATAAGTCTCCATGTCATGATTTGGGAACTGGTTGGTGGCCCAAAAGAAAAAATCTGGTATACATGATCATTTCCAAACATATGAAAAGTTATAGGTTTCAATTCTTCTTATAAAGATAATACTAGCTAATAAGGTATAAAAATTCATCAGCATATAAAGAGTATGAAAACTATGTAAAACCTGTGTGGAATCAACCTGGGCCATAGAAGGAGTTCCTATATAAATAACAAATAAATAAATAAATTGTAAACCATGACCTTAGTGAAGATTATTACAGGCATGAAATTGGCTCAATATTTGAGAAACAGATTCTCTGTACTTCACCATAGCTTAACCAGGAAAAAAACAATCAAACAAACAAACAAACAAACAAAAAAACAGGATTTAAGAAAATGTTGAAGACCAAATACTACCCTGCTCTCCAACCAAGTGAAAGATAGGAGTTTGTGTTCCCACCACACCAGTTTAGAAAGTTCCCGTCCCCATGTAATAAAAAGGGATAGGAAGAGGAATACAGATTGGATAGAAAGAAATTAAACTGGCTCTGATTCTAAATGAAATATCTCTGTGCATCAAATAATTCTTTCTGTAAGAAAATTAGAGAAATCAGTTTTGAAAATTCCTTCTAAGGGCAACAGAGTCACAGAATGCAAGATACAAGATAAACCACACAATATTAACCCATTGCCTGCCAGCAGTCAGGGACCAGAAACTCAGTTCCATAGCCTCACAGTCTGAAAAGTTTCACTAATCTTTTAAGGAACTCAAGCCACACCAGGACTCCCAGGGCTAGCCAGTAAAGTAAAGCAGAGTTGGAGAGTTTACTAAATATGTTCTAATATAGACTCGGGCATGTGGGCTAAATAGAGAGATGCTTAGAAAGAAACACATACTTAAGTGTGGGAACATCCTTCCCAAGGAAAAATAAAAGAGAGTAGAGATGGGCTCCTGGGGAAGAGCCGCCACGAAAGATATACACTTGTATGCTTATAAGATCCTTAAGGGAGAGTCTCAGTAGTCTTAGCATTAGCTATGCATAACATTTTGGAAGCTCGAAACTTTCATATCATGGGACTGACCTATGCACTCTGCATAATCTCCCCTGCCCCCCACTAATACCCTACCTATCCAATACCATTTCTGCTCCCAATGAGGGTGAGACCTTCCATGGGGGTCTTCAGAGCCTGTCATATCCTTTGGGATAGAGCCTAGCCACCCCCCCCCCCGGGGCTGGGCCGGGGGAGGG